AGCTGCCAGCCCTTTAGCACAGCAGACTTTTCCATGAGCCCAGCCATGCTGGAAGCGGGGCCGATTTATCCGAGCCCCCCGCTTGGCAGAGGGCAGCTGGGAGCCCTCCGTGCCTGTGCCAGCCCCAGGCAGCACTCCCTGCTTCCCTCACAAACCTCTTAGTCCCGAGTTAATTAATTGTCATCAAATAACCTGCATGGCCACAGCTGGGACAGCAGCTTCACCTTCACCCTGGCTTGTCCCTGCGGTTCTGGACTCCGAAAGGCAGCCCCAGAGTGGGGGTCTTGCTAGGAGAGGAGGAGATCTCACTGGGAGAGGGGGTGTCTCAATAGGAGAGGGGGTCTTGATAGGAAAGGAAGGGATCTTGGTGTGTGGGGTCTTGATAGGAGAGGGGATTCTTGATAGGAAAGGAGGAGACTCAATAGGAGCGGGGGTTCTCAGTGTGATAGGAGATAGGAGAGGAGGGGTCTCTCAATAAGAGAAGGGTCTTGATAGGAGAGGTGGTCTCTGTAAGAGAGGGGGTCTCAAAAGGAAAGGAGGAGTCTCAATAGGAGAGGAGAGGGCTCAATAGGAGAGGAGCTCTGGATAAGAGAGGGGGTCTGGAGAGGGGGTCTCAAGAGGAGACAGGATCTTGATAGAAGGAAAATCTCAATAGGAGGAGAGTCTCAACAGGGGAGTCTATTGATAAGAGAGGGGTCTTGATAGGAGAGGGGTCTGGGCAGCAGCAGGGTCTCACTAGCATGGCCCTTTCTGTTTAGCTGGGGAGGGCATTTTGTGCAAAGACTGCACATGGCCCAAAGGACGAGTTTTGAGGCTGCTCGACGGGATTCACCCACTTAATGCCCCAACCAGGCTCTGGAAATGCTGGAAACCATGGACACTGATCTCAGGAGCTGAAATTCCCCGTACTTTGCAGCATCTTCCCATCGCCCCAGGGGTTTGCAATAGCTGTGTGCCAGTGGGCACCGATGGGGACCCTCCATGGGGTGGCCCTTACAGCGTGGTGGTCTGGCTGGGAGAGCCTGGCAGGCAGGAGAAGCTCTGGGATCTGCTGGAACAGATGTTTCTGTGCCATAATAAAAGGTTAAATATTTTAATAAGCATTAGCCACATGTTGAAGATAAAATGAGCTGCTTGTTTTCACTCTTTTTCTTTTTTTTTTTCTTTTTCCTTTTTTTTTTTTCTGTATGCAAATGAAGTGGAAGCTTATTAACGAGATGAGAGGCTGGAGCCTAATTAGCAGCAGGACAAGGGAGCTGTGCTGGAGCTGAGTCAGCGAGTGTGAGAATCGCTGGTGCAGTCCCTGCCATCGCTGCCTGCCACTGCCAAACCACCCCAAAAAACAGGAGAATTGGGCAAAATCCGTGTGGTTTTGGAAGGGTCGGGGGGAGATCAGCTTTGCTTGGGGTCTTGCCTGGACACAGCCCATGTGGGTCACCCCAAAGCCACCTTCCTAATTTTGTTCTTCATGCTGGCTGCATGGCAGCTGGGGTTTTGCAGTGTTTCCAAGTATATATTGAATATTTGGGGGCAGTGCCACCAACCCGGGTGGAGATGGACAGAGCAGGACTGAGGTGTTTGCTATGTGATCTTGTGGTGCCACTGGCAGGGGGCAGTCCCTGTGGAATTTGTTTTAGTGAGTATTTGCTTCTGATTATGTCTCTTTTTTCATTCTGAAGAATCATTTTCCCACAAAGAAAACAAAGGGGGGGGAAAAAAAACCCTAACAAAAATTAGATGACCGTCTTTCTTTTTTTCTTTCTTTTTTTTTCTTTCTTTTATTTTTTTTTTTTAATAGATAATCTTTACTTTCTCTCATCTTTTTTCCTGTCACCTCTTCCTTGCTCTGAGTTCCTTCGAGCAGGGGAAAGACCGAGCCTGCCGCAGCGGTGCAGGCAGGGGCTGCCCGCCCTGCGAGGGGGGCGCAGGGGGACTCGGACTCGGAGTAGCCTCCGAATAAGAAGCTGCCAATAAACCTCTCCTGTAATTTGCACCTTCGGAAGGCGACAGCAGCCCTGCGGCCCCTTCGTTCATTTGCATTTTTAATTAGCTGTGCTCTCCCCGCGCCCCTCAGCTGCCCTGCCCGGGGCCAGCGATGGCTGTAGGTAACCGGGGTTCATTTTGGGGCTGAAGGAAGCGTTTTGGTGGCCCAGAGGACGGGCGAGGCGGCAAGGTAGTGACGACAATCCTCTTTTATTTTTTTTTTCCCTTTTTTTCTGATATATATTTCTTCCTCTTGGTCTTGGTCAGTCCAGCCCTGCCTCCGTGCCATCCATCTGCCCCTTCCTCTGGAATCCTTCCTCACCGTCCTCCTCCTCTCCCAGCACCCAGATCCCACTCACATCACTATCTGTGGGTTTCCTCTTCCCATGCAACCCCCAGCTCTGGCAGCACACAGGATTCCACAATTCCCCTATAAAGCTATTAAAACTCTACCTCATTAGCAATAATTAAAAGGTGTAGCACACATTTTCAATAGCTCATGCTTGCAGGCAGGGTAATTTATTTTATTTTATTTCATTTCATTATTTTATTTTATGTTATTTTATAGTTTTGGTTTGGGTTTATTTTGTTTAATTTAATTTTATCTTATCTTTATTTTATTTTACCTTATTTTTTATTTTATTTTATTTTTTATTCTTTTATCTTCTTTTATTGCATTGTAATTTTATTTTACTAAAATTTATTTATTTCATTTAATTTTCTAGGCTCCTACACCCACCATGCCCAAAGGATGGGCAGCATCACCCATCTACCCCATCCCCACCGTGCTGGCAGAGGAGGGACATGGGCACATCCACCACCTCCCACCCACCCAGAGGAGGGGGGGGTGTGCTGCCTGCATCCAAGGCACGATAAAGTATTTTACTACAAAGCAGAATTACTCCAAAGACTGATGGGCTGACTTGTGAGACCCACTCACATTTATGGAGGTCGTAAGTTATAGACTCCCGGTGAACTGGAGGAAAACATAACCCTCGCCTTTTATAGGCGAAACTTCTGCCGTATATTAAATTCTCCAGCAAACGGACGGGGCTTTACTGCCAACTGTAACTTTAACGTCTCCCAGCCCCTCGGTTAGTTGGGAGGGATTATTAATAACCAGGGTGTGCATGGCCAGCCCTCGCCGTTTGCCCCGGTGACGGTGGCTCTTGGCTGGAGCTCCCGGTGCGGGGATACCAGCCCGGGAATGCCGGGAACAGCTGCCTGCGGGGGGGGGAAAAACCTGCCAGAGGCATTGCACTGGTCAGGACATGCTCCTGGGAGCTTGGGAGAGACCTGGAGCGTCCCAGGGCGTTGGCAGGTCACCAAGCCGTCGGTTTCTGCTCACCAAAAGCCTTTTGAAGCTTCTGTTGTGGGTATCTGTGGGACTCAGAGCATGCCATGTCTTTCTTTTTCCCCATTTCAGTTTTTGGTCTTAAGTATTATAACGTGAAATGGAAAAAGTGTAAAAGCATACTCTCGGGATTTGCTCTCACCCAGAGAGCAAACACCTATTTTTTGTTGCCCAAATGCAGGCAAGTAGGGGGAAAAAAATCCTATAGGTGAGTGGCAGGAGGAGAAGGAAAAGGTGTGGATGCAGAGAAGGGGAAGGGGATAGCAAGGAAAAGGCAAACAACCCAGTTTGCATCCTGCGGGTTTGATTTCTCTTCGAGCTACAAGCAGACCGACGAGGGGGAATAGAGGGGAGGAAGATGCTGCGACTCCTCCAGCCGCCCCCAAAAGCTCTCTGCATGTGCCCTTTTCCCACCTTAAAATCATCTTTTCTACAGAGGGAAGGAAAGACTGGAGCTGGGAAAGGTGCAACATGCTCAAACCCACCCTGGCACCGACAGGATGTGTGCCAGGACCCCCCGCCCCAAAGGGCATCCCATCACCCCCCTCCCAGCATCCCTGCCTGCCACCCGCCTTTTCGGGGCGATTCTCTCACCGGGGCCCGGTGAGACTTAGCATTTCTCTGTTTGGAGCTGGGATGAGCGTTTATTAGAACTAAACAGCTGGGAGCAAGATGATATTTAAACTGGTATTAGGAGAGCACCGGCGGAGGGAGATAATTCCTGGGGCGGTCTGGCAGCGCGGCGGCCGGGGAGCTCCTGGGGTCTCCTGCCGGAGAGCGATACAGTTAATTTGCAGCCGGAGCTGGAGGCTGGCCCGTGCTGATATTGCCGTGTTATTTAGAAGAGAAAGGTCAGGCTGGAGATTGAATAATCATTGACAAGAAATCCATGGGGGAGCGGGGCGGCAGCTCCAGGCGAGATGCAGCATCCCCCGTGCTGACTTCCCAAGGGAATTCTTTCATCCGCTCTGGTCCCCGTGGGGTGTCGGAGGTGTTTGTGGCAGGGATCCTGCCCCCCTTTCTCCAGCTTGGGGAATTACGGCCACCCCCTCCAGCTGTGCCCTTTTCCATCTAATACTTCCATCTCCGGAGGTATTAGAGCTGTCCTGGTTTTCATCCTACGCACAGGCTCTTTTTTAAATTGCAAATTATTCTTAAATTTAAAAGTACTTTTTTTCTCAGAAACGTTTTCAATTTTTTTATTTTTTAAACTAAAACCCCCTAAGAAAACAGAAGAAGCTAGAAAGCCTTCCCCTGCTCCCCAGCCCTGCCCTGGCCCTGGGTGTGATAAGGAAAATCTCCATTCTAGCTTTTTTTTGGAAAGAAGTGCACTAACAAGTCCAACAAAGCAGTGAACCAGCAATGACAATGAAAGCTTGAAAATGGGTTTTTTGAATGGACAAATCCAAATGTCCAGAATGACTCACCTCCTCCAGGGAAACTGAGGCACGGTGGGAGGCACCAGGGATGCTGCACCTCAGGCAGCATCCCAAATCACATCCCACTGGCTCCCACGCTCTTGCCACCAGGAGCAGGACTCTGCTCACTTCCCTGTTGCACCCCGAAACCTTCCCGCCCCCTGCATCCCATGGAGAAGGCACCCAAGGTATCTTGCTTTCCTCTTTTTTCTCCCAAAAAATACACCAGGTTTGGTTTCATTTTTTTTTTTTTGAATTTTTTTTTTTTTTTTGCAACAAAAGAAACTATTTATTTGGAATATGCATTACCAGTACAAATCAGGAAACTGTAAAACCTACACCTTGTTAGTATCGTCATAGAACATAAAAGTCTCAGTTGGGATCAGAAAGACAGAGGCCTTTTTTTTCTCTTTACAGAAGCAGAAAAGCTTAAAGTTTCAAAACCAGGTCGGAACAGAGAGTCTTTTTTTTTTTTTTTTTTTTTTTAGGGTTTTTTTTTTTTTTTTTTTTTAATATTTGGAATCCATTAGGAAGAGAAAAAAAAAAAAGATGGGGGAAAAAATAGAAAAGAAAAAGCAATTCCGAACTGGATCATCTTTACAAGGGATAGAAAGGGCTTTGCAAGAACAAAAAAAGCAAACCAACAAAACCAACCCCCCAGGCAATGTCTGATTTACATCGTCTTAATAATAATAAAATAATAATAATAATAAAGGTGTATGAAAACAAAAGGACTCCAGGAAACCTTGGGATTAAAAGTAACACCCCAAACCCTAAACCGTTCAGTGATGTGAAAAGCTCAGGTTTTTTGGGAGGAGGGGGGGAACTGTTTTAAGAGAAAACTGAAGTGATGCCAAATGGCATCTCCCTTAGCGCTTTTCCTTGAATCTCATGCCACAGCCACCCAGATTTTAGGCTGTATTTGGGGGCTTTTGGGCCATGTCCCACCATGGGTGGGGGCTGCATTGTCCTGTCCCTTGTCCCTCATCCTTCTCAGCACATTGGTGCAGCTGAAGTTGAGGGCCAGGCTGCAAGACCCCATTCTCAGCAAGGTCCGTAGGCAAAAAGAGGTTGGAACCTTCCTTGCTCTGAATCCCTCAATTTTGGGCCAAGGGGGATACTGGGATTCAGGGCAGAGCATCTGGGCATCTACACATTTTGGGGAGGATTCAAGCCCTTCCACCACTTCATGCAGCTCAGCAACACCCCCCAGCATGGAGACCCATGGGGGTTCAGCACCTGACTCCCCATTCCTCCCTGAAACCCCTCAGAATTCTGTCTCTCTTCGGAGACATAAACCCACTGCTCAGCCCCAGGGCAGCCCCAGAAAGATATTCTAGAGCTGGGAGTTGAAGGGAGTGGGGAGAAGAGGAACACCCCCCACCAAAAAACACCAGCATCACTTTTCACATCACTCTGGTCACAACTCAAAAGCACGGGGGAAGCGGCAAGGCCATCGTCTCGGACAGAAAATAAACTTAGCATCATCATCAAAGCCCCCCCCTCCCATCCCAAATAATGCCAAAAAATAAAATAAAAGGTCATTTCTGGGTCTCAACGTTAAGAAACATAAAATGTTAGACTGTACCTATTAATGCTCACTATTCCAACCATTTTTTTTCTTTTTAAAGTTTTACAAAATGAATTACCGTCACTTTTTAAACATTGTGTAAGAAGAAATGAGTGTGCACAACTCTACACTTTTCTAGCATTCTTGAACTAATTCACAAATGCGAGAAAATGAAAAAAAAACAAACCATGGGAAAAAACAAACAAACAAAAAAAAGGAAGATGAATGTAGGTAGTTTGATGTTATAAACTATACAGGAATGAAGCGCTTGTTGCCACAGAAAGAACAGGGACGGGACCTTCCCCCTGTTCAGTTTTGCGTGCTAAGAGGGTCATTTTTTATTCTTTTATTATAAACACTATTAAATTCCGACTGCGTTTTTGGTTTTTTTTTTTTCTCCTTTATCTGAATATACAAGAACATTCATTATCAAATGTTCGTTATCATCAATACTACAAAGAACGAGACACAAATCGCAAGAAACAATGGAAAATGTTAATAAAGCTGAAAGAATCGTCGAGTTTTTTTTGTGATTTTTTTTTTTAATTTTTATTTTTTTTGAGTTTCTGCAGGTTTTTTTTTTGTTTGTGTTTTTTTTGTGGTTTTTTTTTTCTTTTTTGTTTTGTTTTGTTTTTTTGGTATCGAAGTCAGGTTTTTCTGGGCAGAAAAAAAAAAAATAAAAAAAGAAGAAGAAAAAAAACCCCACAACACTCAGGGCTGGAGTAGGGGAGGAGAATGGGGAGGAGAAACAAAACCCAAAAATAAAAAAAGCAAAGAAAAAGGCAAGCAAGCAGCTACGCCAACGCAAACTGGAGGGACCAACCAGGGAATCCAGGAGGTGATTTGCAAAGTACCATGGAGGAGTGAGTGCCTGGCCCAGGCAGGGAGTGCCACGGGCAGGGGGACAGGCAGGAGGGGCAGCGGCTGCAGGGCAGGGGAAGGCAGCCCCGGCATGGGCTGGCTCTGGTAAGCAAGTGGTTTCAGCTCATTCCCAGCTGGTTCCCAGGAGGGACCGTGGCATTCCTGCAGGCACGGCACTGCTGCTGCTCCAGAGAACAGACCTAACCCAGTCCCACATCCCTGAAACACTTTGCCAGAACAGTTTTGTGTAAAACAAGCTAGAAGTGGATAAAAGGCAGCACTGAGGGAGGCCACGGGAGGAGGAGGAGGGGGAATGCAGGAAGGTGCAGGGCTGGGGAAGGTGGGCAGCACAAAACTGTCCTTGCAGGGAAACAACCTTCTCAGTGCTCTTACCACAGCTGGGAGGCAGCCCTAGACCTCGCATGTCGCATCCCACTCTGCCACAGGGTCCCCATCCCTGGCATGGATGCAAAAGGAGCAGAAAGTGTCTCACTGTTGGACACACAAAGCCCCTGCACTGCAAGGTGACAGTGTGTCAGAGCTGTGGGCACACCACTGCTGTGCCCTGCAAGCCAAGGACCATTATTTTTTTCCAGCAAAAGGGTGAAAATTTTTTTTGGCAGAGCTTTAAACAGTTCTTGCTTAACGCTGCTCTGTGCTGGCAGTTCCCACCTCAAGACCAGCACAAGCAGGGTGGGCATGGACATTCAAAAGCATGAGGTGCAGCCAAGAGGTAATGGGATCCATCACAAGGTGCCAGGCATGCTGCACCCACACCAGTCCCCACGACACCCAGGGTCTTGCTGCGGGCTGGCTCAGCTTCCTCGTGCCTGCTGGAAGAACCGACGGCCAAAAGTGCCACCCTGGCACAAAGCTTAGCCCAGGGAAACTGGTGCTGCCTCTCCCTGCTTTTCCATGAAAGCCATGTCCTCCCAGCATCAGCCACCTGAAGGGGCATTTCAGCAGGATGAAGCCTTGATTACCAGCAACCACTGCCTGTCCAAACAGTGGATCAGAAAAGCTGGGCAGAAAATCCCATGATTTCTCCTGTGGTCACTGTTCAGAGTAACTCTTGGGATAAAACCAGCCCCTTCACAGCAGAAAGGCATCCCCAAGGGAGGCACCCACTCATCCTTGAGGGCTTCACCCTCAAGCAAACCTGTGGCACTGTAACCAAAAGCATCCAACACGTTCAGCCCACCACATCCAGACTCTGGGATCCTGCTGCCTGTCCCTCGCTGCCAGCTCAGCAGGGCTTTGGGAATGCAGAGGGTAGCACAAACCTCTGCAAGTCCTGCCTGCACTGGGGAACCCACCTCCCCCTCTCCCACACCATGGCACACTCCTGGAAACATGAGTCAGCACCCTGTGACAGTCTCCTCACCAGGAAAAGTCCACCACCAGCCTCCCTAGGAGCTGTGGGAAAACTGCTGGGGTCCCACGGACTATCCATGCCTGATCCCACACACTTCCACGGAGGTGCTCAGCGACTTGTTATCAGCAATGGCTGTTTCTCACCTGCCTCTGCCTCCTTTCCTGGCTCATCCAGCTCACGGCAGCCAGTGGGATGTGTGGCAGAGTAGGGCAGGGACCGGGAACCGCTGGCGGTTTCCCCAGGCTGGGAATGGGCTGGTACCTACTGGAAATGAAGGGGAGCACACTGGCTCCTTCTATGTGCACAGGGGCTGTGCCCACCCGCCCTGTCACCGTGGTGCCCGAGGGACAGCTCACCGAGGCAGGGCTGGGCACAGGGGGCAATGCTGGGGCCAGCAGAGACGAGGTGGCAGCAGGTCTGTGGTGGCAATTCCCTACGGAGAGGTAGCATGAGAGATAGGGGGGCGAGGGGGCTGCCTGCCAGTGAGGGAGCGAGACGTGACTGAGGGACGTTCGTGGCTCCTCAGAAAGACACCGAGTGTGAGGCTGTACACTGGTCTGGGGTTGGTTTGTGAGGTGGCGGTGGATTTTTGTTTTTCCTCCTTAAAATCCTTCTACCTGTTGACATATCCTTCGGTGGGAAGGGGTGAGGGGGAGGGAGTGGTGTTGTGGCGGTAGTGGGGAGGGGGAAGAGCGGCTTCTACCCAGAAAAGAAAGGGAAGAGAGTATAAAGAAGTGTCCAGATTGGCTGAAAAAAGCATCCCGACGAAGAGAAGAGAAGAGAAGGAGTCTTCTTGTGTGTGCTGATTGGGTTCACCTCCAGTCTGACTGCTGCGGTGTTAGGAGAGGCCCCCTCCCCTCCCGCCCCCGCCGGGGCCGGCTCAGCCAGGGATGCAATTTGCTGGGAGATCAGTTGGAGGTATCAGAGTGAACGCTGCCAGGGCCTTCTGTGGGGGAGGTCACCGACGATGGGGTAGTAGCGTCTTGCCAACCTCCATTAGCCTGTGGGAAGAGAGACATGGAGATGTCAGTCACCCCATGGCACGGCACACGTGGCCCTACCCAAGTCACCCATCCACCTCAGAAACCCCTTTTCCTCCCTCAGCAGGAACCAATGTAGGAGGCAAAGATTTCCCACCTGGCTTTCCCCCCACCTCCCACCCCATCCATAGGGTTGGGGCCAGAAACAATTCTGTAACAAACAGGGTTTTTGATAAACTGCAAGTGCTCATAGAATGTCTGTCCCTTTAAAAGAAAACTATTTCTCAAAAAAACCCTGAGCTCTGGCTGCTTGGGTTTTCTTTTACCACCGAATATGACCATTCCCCATATGGAAAGAGGAAAATAGTAAACATCTCACTCCAGAACCCGCTGCCTGGATGTTATCTGAAGCCAAGTGCTATGAACATGCAGAACAAGTAACAGGTCCCAAGGGACTGATGAGCTGTGCCATGTCCCCCAGAATAGCTCCATGTCCCCACCTCCTTGAGGGAAGCCAAGATACAGTGCAACGGAGCTGCCACCTGAGGGTTTGTACACCAAAGCATGGCAGACAACTTGTTTATTCTTCTAAAAACAGGTACTGAGCTAAATTCTCCAGCCTCTCAAGAGCAGAGCTACTGGAGGGCCCTGGCTGCTGTAGGCAGGAGCCAGCGGTGCACAGAAGCTGCTCCTCTGTGGCTGCCATCCCCTTTAGAGAGGAGCAGATGTCGCACCCAGCCTCCTCTGCTCACTGTGACATTGATTCAGTGCTTGGCTAATTAATCCTTCCCAAGCGCTGCCCCAGCTCCAGTTGGCAGCAGTCGCTGTCCCGCTTTAGCAGGTTAGCAAACCCCACTCCACCCTGGGTGCAAGTGTGAAACCAGACTGTGCACAAGCACTACCAGCCCCGTGAACCCCTCGCCTGCAGAGACCCCATGCCCACTGCCCCCACCGGCTCCCACCCACACCCGGGCCCCAGCCCACCATCCCTGTGCTCCCCGAGATGCAATATCCACCCTTCCATGTCTTGGACTGCTGCAAGAGGCAGCAATTACTGTAGATTATCAGCCCGACAATGACAGGCCGCGTAAAGAGAGACACAGAGCCAACTCCACCGCCCCGAGACTGGCATATTCAAGTACACTTAGGACATTAATAGCAATTTACGTGCCATCAGTGAGAGAGAACCACAATAGCTGTGCTGGCAGCCTCTTATTACCAAGCCTGTTATTTGTTGGAGTTACAAGCTATAATCACAACAGAAACTTTCAAAACCCTTATCTTCCGTGACGCACCAAATCTATTTCAGAGCCGTAATTGCTATGTCACCGGAGAGTTTGCTGCTTAATGCACTCAGATGCCATTTAGTGTTTGCAGGGTCATTACGGCGAGCAGGAGGGGGGAGAGCAGAGGGGGCCTTGTGGAGCAGGGCTCCGTCCCTATTGTGCTCAACTATTTTTAGCGAGGCTTTTGCACGCCAGTCACGGCTGGAAGGAGCGAGAGGGAGAGTGTCTTGCAGGCAGTGACTGCAGTGTCTCGATGTTCAGCACCCCTCTCTCCCCAAAATGCTGGGAAGCCTCGTGGCACTCCAGTCTGGGAATCAGCCTTCCTGTGTTGCAGGAGTTTGTGTGGCTGAACACCACCTTGGTCACACCCAGTGGGAAGTCAAGAGAATGTTGGGGAGAGACTTTCCACAGACCCCACACCCTCCTGTTCACCCAAACTGGGAAGGCCAGAAGGTACAGGTCAAGCGATGGAAAGGAGGCCCCAAGGTTGGCCATGACATCTTGACACCATCCTTTGGTATGGACAAGCCCTCTATAAGGAGGCCAGATCCTCCTGGAGGCAGAGGCACACAGACACCATCCCCACTCATTCAGTGGAGTTCACTCCACTGCTGCACGGATCAAGCCACATGCAGGATGCATCCAAGTCCACCCAGATGGCTCTGCCTCTTTCTGAATCAAGGAGATCTCTTGGGATCTGAGTGTACTAAAGTGCTTGGGATCTCCCTGAAAAATAAGGAAGCCTTTTGAGGAAGCTGCTGCTCCTTGGAGATCCTCTAAGGAGTGTCTGCACACAGTTGTGACTTCCTCAGGAGGGGCACAAGCCAAAGACAGAGCAACGGTCTCCAAGACATCTCTTCAGATGTCCCCTTCTTGTGCCAAAAAACAGGCAAGGCCTTGGTGACTGTCCAAGTCTGGAGCCCTGGTGATGGATTGCTGAAGCAACTGGTTTTGGTGCCCGTTTCCACAGGTCTCAGCATTTTTGTCACCTCCAGCAAGTCTGGCTGGCTCCCTGCCCAGGCCTCCTACGTGGGGCTGGGAGATGACTTTCTGCCAATTTTTAAAGGTGCCTTCTGCTTAGCACAGAGGCTGTCTCGGCATCCCACCTTCTGTGACCAAATCCCTGTCCCACCATCGATGGCCCAGGGTGTCAGGTTAACCTGCTAACACACCAGATACTGGCAAGTCTGACAGACAGAGCAGCCTTAAAGAGGTTTCAGACCTCTGAGCTTTTAAGAGCTTGTATCAGGGCCTCATTATAATATGCACTGAAGGTCTTATCACATAGCAGAGAATGCAGCCTTGTTTGGATATCCCTTTCCAAGGGTCATGTCCAGGCATCCCTGGCCATCAGAAGACACCAAGGCATCTCTGATGGATGGAGCTTGGGCACTGAAGCCCTGCCAGAACAACTTCCACACCCCAGCTGGTGGTTATAACCATGAACCATAGCTTGACCATGATGGTGAACTGCAGCTTGCTGAGGAACAGAGCAACAACTTTCTTCCCAAAGCTCAAATTCTTAGAGCAAAAGGTCTCAGCCCAAGTGAGGAGCTCTCAGCTCCTACAGGTATCAGTGCCTGGTGATCCTTGCTGACAAGAGTGGATCCAAAACTCCCCCTCACACCCACCACCACCATCCCTGTCCACACGCACTACTCTGTAAACAGGCACAGCTCTGCACAGCAGTGGTTTTAAATCAAAAGCCTCACACTCTGATGAACTTAAAAATAGTCTCTCATTTTAGACTTTTAAACGATCTAAAAATTAAACTAAAGTCCAAAAAGAAATTTCTGAAAGGGTTGTTCTTTAAGATGACTACAGTTTGCTCATTCACTAGCACGTGGTGGAACTAGAACACACTGTAAATTTACAGCCATGGGACAGTGGCAGGAAAGGCAATGTTTTGGGGTGGGACCCTCCAGAGGACTATGGCAATAAAGATCCAACTTCTACTGGAGCCCAAGAGAACCTGAGCATCTAAATGCTTTGAAATCCCTAAACTCAGGGACCTCCTGGGTACACGGGTGGACCCTATGACACTGTCTAGAGAGCCCAGACACTCAAAAACCATCACTTAATGGTGCAAAACCCTACACCTCAAAGTTTGCCAAAAGAGCTGGTTCAGGCCCCAAACACCCCCTCCTTTCAGGTGGGGGGGTCTTTCCTTCTTCTCAGTGTGACCCGAGCCTGGGTATCCGCGAGGCAGCTCCAGCCTCTACCACCCCTCCATCACCACGAGCATTCCCATCCCTTGCTGGGACTGGTGCTGCCTGACGCTGTCTCCACCTGTGGAGGAGAAGGAATCCGTTCTCCCTCAGCCTCAGCCATCCCTGCGGGTCACAGGGGTGGGGATGGCTGGGACACTGCCCATTATCCTGCTAACAATGCAGAACCGACTCCAGCCCTTTCCGCCCTGCGGAGTGGCCTGTCAGCCGTGGAGCAGCAGAGCCACGGAGGGAGCTGGGCTTTGGGTAGATTCCTCTTCTCAGCTGTCACGACTTACACGCATTTAAAAATTCATCCCCCATCAAGGAAGGCAAACCCCGAGCGCTGTGTCCCCTGCCAAGGTTTCCAGCGGTGGAGCCGGGCAACCTGCCGCTGCCTTCCCAGCGCTGACGGGCTCCGGGGATGACTTAACCTCAGCCCCGTGCAGACATCATTGTGACAGGGCTCTTGACTAGGTTTCGGCTCATCTCCTTCCAGCAGCTCACGGGGATGCTCGGGTGATGCGGGGACGGCAGCTTTCTGTGTCACAATCAGCTTTCCTCCACATTCTGCTGCCCTTCGTTGGCATTAAAGGGTTCAGGGAGAGTCAGGGAAGCCCTGCCTGCCACGAGCCAGCCATCCTGACTGCACTGAGGAGTTCCCCAGGACCTTGCCCAGGATAGATGCTTCCAAGAGGGCAGCCACACTTCAGGGTGGACAAACTGGGATCAAGGGACCTCACTGGGTGGGAAGACATTAAGTGATGATAAAAGTTCCAGGCTGGAGCTTTTATCCTGTATCCCCAGGATACAGAGGAAACAAAACATTTTGGGATAGAGAGACAACCCAGAAGATGCCTCCTAAACTATCTGCTTAGTTCTGGACTCCCTGTCTCATTCCCTGTGACTACCACAGCTTTTTGGGGAAATGAGCAGTCACCCACAAACTCGTGCCATAAACCCTTTGCCACCCTGCCTGCCTCTTAACAACATCCAACACGGGCCAATCTGGGTTTCTGTCCTCCTTGAAAACCGGCCAGAGGAGACATGAGGTGGCAAACATGCCAGGTCCCCCTTTGGAAAGGGCAGGGGGAACCGATGAGCCCCTGTCATGCTCAGCTCAGCAGTTCCCAGTACTGCTCATGGGAACACTGGTTCTCCCATTACCACAGTCAAAAACACCAGTCCAGGCCTTCTCGTCCCATTTGGCTTTCAAGTTTCCACTCTCTCTTTCTTCTCCTCTCCCCTGCTGTCCCTTCCCTGCCTTGTAATCCCTGGCAGCAACTACCCCCCCACCCCCCAAATTTTGGCTTAACCCAGGCCACTGTAATTTTCCAAGCCAACTGCAACTGCAATCAGCTCAGCCTCTTTCCTTGGGGGTATTTTAATTTATACAAAAGTATCATCTCTTATCATGATCAGCCTGCGATTCATTTACTCTCCGAGTATTAAAAAGCCAGAAAGGGAATAAATTCAGCGCACGGAGAAATTAATGCGGAACGATAGGCTCTTTCATGTGGCATTTCCAAGTGCCGTTTTTGCAAGGGGCTTATGTAATGAGACATAATTATCTGCACATGTTCAATTACATTACTTCACAAATCCTCCCTGCCTCTGCCTCCTTGACGTCAAGCCGCCCACTAAGCCCCGGTGCCCGCAGGAGAGGGGAGCACAGCCCCCTGTCCCACTGCACCCCCTCCCCACGCCCGCAGTGGCCATCACACAATGATGGCCCAAAGATGGTCACGTGCCAGGTTGCCACAAATGGCACAAGCTTGGTCAGAAGGGTGACAGGACTAGACAGTGCACCCTACGGGGGTCTTGGCTGCAGGACCACCATCCCACCTGGAGGACCATCACCTCCCTTCCCAGCTCAAGACCACCCCATTTCAACCTTCAGCCTCCTGGATGGGCATCGTGGCAGCCTGTCATGTCCAGGGCCAGGCGTCCCCTCCTCTGTGCCACCCTGGACACCGCTGCCACCACCCACTCGACGCTCGCAGCCTCCTTTTCCAGGCTGCCCTCCTCTCCCAGCTTGCTGTCACCGCCACTGAGATGGTGGACGATTGATCTGAGAAATGAAGTTGGATTGCTGTCCCGAATCTACACTGGGTTCTCCTTGTGTGTGTCTGATCGATTTCCCCCTGTGCGACACAGCTTGTCGCTACGAATTTTCATGCTAGTCAGAACCCGCCAGCGCACCCAAGAACAAGGAGAAGATGCTCCAGAGACCGCCCTCCCCCTTGCATCCTCCCCCAGCCTGGTTGGGCGAGGTTTCCTTGGGTTGACGTTGGTTGGCTCTGTGGGGTTTTTTTCTCCTCTTATTTGCGAGCGTTTATTGCCGCCAACCCCATCGCCACCGCGCCTTCGGACGCCGGCCGGGGGTGGGCTATTTTTAGATGGTCGCTCAAGGATGGCGCCATTGGCCTCTGCGCGGAGCCACCTCTGGACCGGGGCGTTCGCGGTGACATTCCCCACCATGGTTACACGAGGTGTCACCTGTTTAGCAGCTCCTCCCGGCCGAGCGTGTGTGGCCGCAGGTGCCAGGCGAACGCTGATCGGCTCTGACAGTCCTAGACGCCAGCTGCCTGCACGAAGCCTGCCCCGTCGCCACTTTTTTTGTGGGCAGAGCTCTGCCGTTGGCGTGACCGATACAGAAGCAATAAACTAGGTGACCGTAAAGGCAAAGACAAGTCCTACTAAGTGGCATTCTGAGCCCTATGGCTTTGAAATAATTGGTAGTGAGAGAACAAGGAAAAAAAAAAAAAAAACAAAAAGAAAAAAACCAAGAACCCGAGCCTATTTTTTTTTTTCTTACACTGATGCCCTGCGGACTATACATCTGACTTGCCGCGAGTCCGTCACTGTATCCTCCTGTCTGGCTGATAACATGGCGAAGGGTATCCACCTAAACAGACCAACGACAACAAAGACACAAATTAGAGTGAATGAAAGGTTAGTGGCCAAAGCCGCTTCCATTGATCTTTGGCAAGATAAAACAGTAACAAGAATAATAATCATGATAATCATCATAATAAAAATAAAGGCATATATTCAAAGAGGGGTAAAGGAGAGCTGCGGTTGGTCTTGTGGAGAGAGATGAGCCAGAGGACTACTCCTGCCTCCCTCACCATCCCTTGCCTGTCCCGGTGGCCCTGTCATGCTCTCCTTGGTCCCAAGTCTTTTGAGAAAAAGAGTGAAGAGGGAGAACAGCATGGCAAGTGTGGGGTGGGATCTCCTGGAGCACATCATCACGGCCGGCTCCACCATCATGCTCAAGTTCCTACTCCTACCCCCTTCCACCCTTGACCCCAAGCACTGGAAGCTCACAGCAGTGGAAGGAGATCCTTTGGAGTTGGCTGAGCACCTCCACTGAGGAGGGCCCAGAGAGGAAATATACCTACCATGGCAAAGGCACCAGCAGCAGCTCTCCTCTGGCTGCCCCGTTCCTCTCCCTCCACTGCCCCCAGCCCAGCCCAGCAGTGGTACGTGTGGTGAGCACGTCTCATCACCCACAGATGACATGTGTGCTCCACATTCAGCACCATCAGGGAGCAGCCTCAGCTTTAGAGAGCTCTCCTTGCCCAATGCATAAGTGTCAGAGTGGCTGTCGTCTCTCAACACAGAACAGAGCCTTAGATGCCAGAGAGGGGACTCACGGCATATCTGGACATCAGAGGGGAGGTGGGAGACCTGAGTGAGATCCTGGCTATTTTAAATTCTTTCTTTTTGCCCCAAGCATGGGTTCATGTTTTGGGAACGCTGCTCAAAGCTCCCTTGCTCTCTCCTGCTTGTGTGTGCATGAGTGGTGTGAGTGCCTGTGCTTTGGGGAGGTGGGGAGATGGTGAAGGGTGGCTTTTAATGATAAAAAAATTTAAAAAAAAAATTTAGCTATGTATTTGAACATTCATTGGTTTTCAGCAGATACCTGGTTTGGCATCAAAGGAGTCGTGGAAGCCTTGTAAAACGAGACACCAGTCCAAACATCTGGCCCCTTCCCTTGGAAGAATAAAGCAAGCAGAACCTAAACCTCAGCTGCTTTTGTTTGACTTTTGCCTGTTCTCCTACACCTTCTTTCCTCCTAGTACGACTATCAAGCCAGAGCCAAATGCATTCACAAAGTGTGGGCAAGTCTCCTCAAGACCATGGTTGTTGGTTTGGTTGGGCGTTTGGTTTTAGTTTCTTTTGGATTGATTTTTTTTTTTTTTTGGTGGTTGTTGCTGTTGTTTTTTTTGGTCGGTCGGTTTTTCGGTTTGGTTTGCCTTTTTCAAGTGTTGGTTGGTTCGTTTGTGCTGGTTGAGATTTGCTCTTTTCAGACGGGAGGGAGAAGTGCCAATACAATCAAAGGCTCCTCCAACACTAATGCATTCACTGGCAGTACATCGGATGGGTCCCTACCTGTGACTGCACGTTGGCTCCAACCTGGGCCCCTTGGTAAGAATCCCCATTGAGAGACTGCACGCTCATGAACAAATCTCCAGAGTTTGACATGTTAAAAGAACTGGAAGAACCTGGAAAGGAAAGAGTGAGGCACCTGAATCACAGAAAGGAAAAAGATCCACCCCATGACTCTCAGCCAAGAGGAAGGAACAACATGCAAAGCAACCACAAAAACAAAACACACAGTCAGGTTAGTAGTATGAAGAACAGAGCAAGCAAAAAAAAAAAAGGATGCACTCTTGAGGTTATTCAAAGCCACATGTTGTTACAGCTCAATGCCAAGAATATTCTTCAACAGCTCCTCAGCTGGAGGAAGGATTCTTCATGCTTTTGACTGAGACAAACAAAATACAGCCTGGAGGACTCGGACAGCCCTTTCCCTTCATTTCAGGGCATCAAAATCCTTCAGGCAGCTTCGAAAAATCTCGGTTGTTGGGGGTGTCCACCCAGCAGACTGCACTGGAGAACTGAGTTACCCAGACAAGCCTCGCTATCAGGAGCAGAAGCCTTTGCAGTGGGCGAACCAAGCCCATGCTGAGAAGCTCAGACCAGGGTGGGTAATTCCACTCTATGCTGCTGTCTGCAGGGTGAGCACATCCAGACCCCATCCAGTTTCACGGCTGGAGCTCCGGCTGAGCCACAGAGGGCTCTGCGAGGGAGCAGTGTGTGGGGTTTGCCTTCAGGACACTAGGAACCCATCACTGGTGGGAACTGCAGCGCACCAGGAGCAAAGTCTCGCAAAAATGTGAAGGCACCTGGGCTAGATTCCCAGTGCCCATGATGTTGGTAAGTGTCTTTCATTGTGATGGGCCACGAGAGAACACAAGGTTGTTATGGCTCTCCTGGGCCAGCTGCCCCTGAGGAATGAGCTCTGTAAGCAAATTCCCCACTGCATGGACATGCACCAGTCACCGATGTCACTCTAAAAAATAATAACAGGTGAAGACAACTGGGTGAGATCAGGAGGAAAAAAAAAAAACAAACCACAAATGAAAAGAAAAAAAAAATCCTTTGCAGAAACAAGGTTTTCTGCTTCCAGCTTCGAGATATCTGAGCACCTCCTCAACCACTGAATGGGAGAAACAAACCCATCATGTAACTGGAAGGCAGGGAAGGAGGCAAGGGGGTTAAAAATAAATAAAAAGGTTTTATGGGATTATTTCAGAACTTATCGTGCAGATCAGCGCGTTAAGTGTGAGACAGCTCAACGTGCAAGGTTTGGTTATATACATGACGTTAGCCTTGGAAAGGAGAGACTTCAGGGGCCCAGGTCAGCTATGCTTTCAGCTCCAGTCCCAAATATACTCTCATCATCTACACTGCCACTTCCAGCTTGGAAGACTGGCAACCACAGTCCTGGTGGAATTGCCCAACTATGGCTCATGCGTATGCTCTGAGAAATGCCTGGCAATCCCCCTCCCCTTGCTGGAGAGGGAAAAAACACACTGGATAGATCCCAGTTCTGCCCTGGAGGTGGACCAGGAAGGCTCTTCTAAAGGAAGCCACCTCTGAGAAAGGTCAGGGAGCAGGTGGGAGGTCTATGCTGGAGCCTTCATGTTCACTAAATTCTCTGCTGCTCTCTTGGTGACTGGCTCTTTTGTCAGGTGCTGGCAATTCTCAGAATTGAAGGAAAGCAGAAACATTGCCGCCAGATACAACGCCCAAGAGTGTCAAGAGAAAGACTTATCCTGAGCACACTGAGTCCTGGATCAGGACCCTCCCACCAGTGCCTGAAAAGAGCGAAGCCAGGAATAGCTCATTGTCTGTGCTCACTGTCAACCCTGCCCAACCTGTTCGAGAGAGCAATCCCACAGCGCTGCGTAAAATAACGGGGACTAGTCAGAAGGCAGCTGTAACCATCGCCTCCTCTGCTCAGCTGGCAAAGGGCTCCTGTCACTTCCCAACCTCTCAGGTTACTTGCTATTTTAAAGGCAAAAAATCTAGGGAAACGAGCTGGCAGACTGAGGACAGCCCACCCTGACAGTGCTCAACTTCAAGCATGAAGACAGGCATGTTTCACACACATAAAGATGCTTCGACCCCATTTTCTGAGTGATTTGACTACCAGAATAAAAGCACAGGGCAGTAACACAGCTTTGTATTCCTGCAGTGGCTTAGAACCAAAAGACTGCAGGTACTGCTCACAAGAAGCAGAGAATATTCTCCTATTCTTCTCAGGTGAGCAGAAACCTTTGAGATCACACAAATAATCAGGGGTAGAGCTGGGAAAAGGACTCTGGAATCCCTGAGCACTTGGCACGGCACTGCTACCACTCTGCCCCCAGCAGAGCAACATTTCATCCCACCTTCCCCTACCAAAAGAAAATTATAACAACAATAACAAATAAAAATGCCATAAACTTAACTGGTATTTTATTGAAACTTAACAAAGCTGGCCATAAAATTGAGGCTGGGAGGGAGGAAATAAAAATAAACAAACAGCCGCAAACTCTAGTTCTGAAGAGCGACGGTGTCTTGGAAATCATGAGGAGCGCTGGAAATGTCACTTACAAGATATACACTGCTATTGGCAAGGGGTATTTTTACAATATATGTGCATATCTAAACGGTAAATATGTCTTGCCGCTGATGTGGATGCAAAGATAAATATGCGCATACCAATGGCCCCGCATGTATGGATGCATTTGTATCAGAGCCGTAATTGCAGAGCCCTCTGTGCCGCCGCGCTGCTGCTTCAGCAACTCCACCGTCTGCCTCCTCACCACGCCTGAAAATTACAACCGCCCGAAATCTCAGAGACACGGCTAAGAGGAGCTGACACACTCGGGTGGGAGAGGGGGCAGGAACGTGAAGAGGCCTGAAAATTAAGGCTCGGGTATCCTCCAGGAATCCAAGTCAAAGCCTTTCATGAGAGGAGGCTCCGTCGTAAATCTGATCTGCCCGCTCTGAAAGGCTCCATCCTGAACACACCACGGGTCTTTGATGGTCATAGCTTGGTCTGGGGCTTCTCAGGAATTGAGAGATAACAAATGAGAGAAGCTCGTCTTTGAGCTTGTGAACCCGGGTAAAAAGGGCTCTGATCTTGGCATGGAAGTCCCTTGATGCCATTGTGTGTAGACTTAAAAACCTACGAGAAACCCCAACATTTTTTATGACTTGTAGCACTGTGGAGGAGTGGTTTATCTTCAGCATCCAGACAGCTCATTAAATCCATCACCATCAAGACCTATCACCTTAGTACTGAGTTTCTATGAGGTCAGCACCTGCTTCAGGAGTGCTGGAAATGTTTAAGCAAGCTATGGCTGTCAAATCTTACCCCTGGGTAAAAGCCTACATCCAAACAATGCCTGTGAAGAGATTTCTTACATCCCTAATGCTTCTGATGAGCAAAACCCACTTCAGTTTTGCCTCCAATTCAAAAATCTTCAAAAGTTTGACTGCTGGTATTTCTTGCACCACTTCTCCAGCTCTTCAAAAAGCTTCTTCTCCAGGTTCTCCAATGTCTTCTGTGTTCTGATGGTCTCAACTTCCAATTCAAATTTTCCAGGACCTCTTATAAATCCTTTTCTCTAAAGTACCTGACAACTCAGATGGCACCAAGAATTAACACAACCAAAGCTGAAGTCAACAGCAATGACACACATGCGTTGAGAGCACAGGATTTACCCCTCCTGTAACTTTTTCTTGTGTCTCTACCATGGTCAAAGATGAGGAAAGAACATGATGGACCACACAGCTTCTCAGCTGGACAAAGCCACTGAGTTTGAAAGCAGGTCTAAAAGCCAGGGATGATCCAGCAGGACACTTGTTCTTTTTCACTTGCCAACACTTTAGACAGTGAGGCCACGACCAGAACAGTCTCTGCTGAAGCAGGGTCCTCTCTAGCGCTGTGTTTTGGATACAAATGGACAAAGGAAGAGAAGCAACAGCAAGACCTATGCCTGATGAAGTACATTTCCAGACAACAGCTTTGCAGGAAGATTTTTACAAAACAAAAAGGTAAGCAGGAAAAAAAACAACAGCTCAGGACAATGTTGGCTGCTCTGCATGGAAGATTTCACTGGATGTCATCACCTGTGTGTGCCCCTTGAGGACTCTGGTTGGCAAAAGGGTCTGCCCACATAAAATAGCTTTCATTTGCCATGTGGTTTTTGTGCTGAGATTGTCCAGGCAATCAAAGTGAGGATGGGGAGTTGTTAGCCCAAATGAGCCAGACATCTCAGCTTATTTGAACATCTGGCTGATAAAGCCCAACTGCGTGTATTCACGATGAAAAGGTGTTTGACATTCAGGCCTGGGTGACTGAGGATGGGGGACCCTGCTTTGAACGTGCCAGATGGCCAGACAGATGCAATCCTTGCCCTTGTCAATGTGTGGCCAATCTCTTTGACTGACTGAAGCCATTCACTGATCTCCAGTAACATGGGCATCAATGCAGAGAACAGATGGGCCTGCGTAGCCACAGCAGAAATGAATTTAGCTCCTGTCCCAGGTCCCATTGCATCCAGTTCCACCTCCTCTTCCAGCACCATGGCCCTCCAGGGACTACGTTGCTGGTCATTTCTTCCTCATGACCTGTCCTCTGCCTACTTTCTTTCCACATGTCCTACAAGGTATTTAAACCAGAAGGTCCGAAAAATTCCCAGCAAATCCCATCTTCATTCAGACTCCTTCCTCACCAAAGTCTCAGCCAATGATCTGGGAACAGACAGAAGTCCATGGCGTAAAAGGAGAGGCATCATCCATCTTAGTCCTTCACCTCTTTGTCTACTTCCATGTTTCTCCCTGGGGAATTCAACACATCTGGATGGCTCATGGTGCTGGACACAATCCTTCAAATCTTCCTCAGACAGGTATTTCAGACCCAGCATGTACAGGTGTGCTTCTTGTTGCCAGCACCTACAGGGCAACCTGAAGTTGATCACATGACCCCAGATGTCTTCAGGATCCATCTTTGTCCCAAAACCTGACAATGCAGGGATGCCTGACTGAGCTGTTACATCTGCATGGTCAGCTGGGGAGACCTCAACCTGGGATGCCACTGTTGGGAAATAAAAATCTCAGGCAATTCCAGCTGTCTTCTCAGGGGAGGACATACCAGGACGCCCAGACCCCCTATCTCTGCCAGCTGACTCAGAGACCACTGCAGTGCTGACAACAGGGCCTCCCTGCTGCTTTGCCACTGTTGCAGTCTACAGGCAGGGTGGTGGGATCCAGGCCAGGTTAGAAACACTTTATTTCTAGCAGAAGAAGGATCTCCAAGGCCTGTGAGCTCCCCTTGCCCTGCTTTTAGCACCGCTGACACATCAGGCAAGTGAAAAGAGGTCAATGATTCCGGAGTACAGATGAGCGAGCCAGAAAGAGGACCCAGGAGCTCAAGTTTTACCTGTTAATAACAGGACTGTTTGTCCTTCCTTGAAAGAGCAGTGTTACCCAGGGATTATCTCAGCTGTTTACTGCAGGGTACTGGCCAATTTATCTCTGAAACAACCGTGTTACTGCCTGTGGGGAAGGCGAAGAAACAGCCTTCCACCGGAGCACTACTTAACTGGGCAGGCACTGGGGAAATGCTTATTCTCCTGCACACAGGCCAGATCCAAAACCACTTAAGCAATTTGAAGTTCTTCTCTTGCTATTCCAGGCCTTTGCATCTGACTCCAGTTGAAGAAAGAGGAAAAGAAGGAAAGCTGTGTTTCCTTGCTCCAAGGTGACGTGGGCTGCAGGACAGCATTCCAGGCTGTCCTGGACCATTCTCCGTCATCACACACAGTTCTGCCCTCTCCAGCAGAATTCCCTCCAGCCTTTTCTACAGGGGGGTGTTAAGAGACCCCACCTGACCACGTATTTTGAGTGAGTTCTTTGGAAAGAATGACATTTTTTAAACTGCAGCTAAATCTTCAGCAGTTCAGGCAACTGAAGGGGAACAAAAATCTCCAAACCAACCAAAAAGAATCAAACATATTTCCTGCAAACTGTCCTTGCAGAGCTCTGCTGCATCTACCTGAGCCCTCAGAGCATCTCACCTGAGCCAGGGCAGGCAGCCCTGGGCAAGGAGGAGGTGGCAGAGATGTGTCCCACCAGCATTTCTGACCTGCAACATCTCTGCTCCTGGTGGCTCTGGGGGCAGACCCTTAGAAGTACCGTGTCCTCTGGAAATTAAAGGGTTATGTGTAGGAACTTCACTGCCCAACTGAACTTCTCTCCACTTGCTCTGTCAAAGCCATCCACCTGAGCCCCTTCAAGGTGTGGAGGAGCTCCCCTGCAGAGAGCAATCAACCCCCACTTACCCATTAGCTCATGGGTAACGGGCTGCCTTTGCCTTCCTGCTGGGGGACTGGTTCTGGACATCAGCCAGAGACCCATGCCACTGCTTGCTCTCTTTCTTTGTTCCCTGGCTCTCCACTTCCCACACAAATCCTCCTGATCCGGGGGTGCTTCTGGGGTGTGATCCTTCTTATACCTGCACAGGCAGGGTTGTGTTCACTACAGAAGCATGTCCTGACAGCAACCAGCATTTACACAGTCTGCCTAATGTCTTGCTGCCCCCCATCCTCTTTACTCCTCTCCTTCCTCTGAGTAGCCCACCTGATAACAGCAAGCCCTGGGAAAGGGCACCATGAGCAGACGTCAAGCTCAAAGGCACAAGAGTGGCACATTCCCACTCTCCCTCCCACCCCTAAAAAGAAAACAGGCACACAGATATTTGCACAGGTAACAAAGTACATTGCACCTACGAAATTCACTTTTTTCCCTTCTTTTAAACAAATCCCAATTTTCCATCACTCTTGGGAGCACAACCAGCTGACCACAGCCCCGGATCATTTTTGGGTCAGCCGACCTTGCAGAAGGCACCACGCATGAACTAAGCATCATTCTCTAGCAGAGGAGTTGAAATCTGGGCAAAGTGCTCTGTGCCTTTGACCCTCAAAACAAACAAATGGAAACCACAGCAAATGGGAAGGAAAGGGGGAAAGGGAAGGAAACGACCCATGAATTTCTCTGGATCGCACTGACACAAAGGGAAAATAAAATTCACACACAGAGCACACTCTTGCAGGTGATCCAGACACTGTCATGTAAGCAATCAAAGATAACCACAGTGGAAAGAAAATCAAAGAATACAAATTTATCCAAAACAATCCCCAAAATGGCATGAGTTAGGACATCCCAGAAATGCTGGGTTTTATCCATTAGGGTCACTCATGCTTTCAGCCCCAGTGAAATAAAATCATTATGCAATAACTTTTCCATTACTTTTTCTCTCCCCACAAAGTGCAAGCAATCCCAGCAACAGTTTTCAGATAATTTTTCTGGGTTTGTGTTTACCATCCATGCATATAACCCCCAACATAGTCACAAGGTCTGATCACATCCTTTTTCCAATGAAAAACAGAACAGGAAAGGGAAAGAGGAAAAAACTGAGAAAACAGGGGGGAAAAAAGTAAAGTAAATAAAGTACCCCCCCAAACCAAACCAAACCAAACCCATTTCTCCTTTTCTTTTTTTTAAAGACCACAAAAGTGAGCAAACCAGACCCAGAAAATAAAAGTTGAAATAACCAAGACGAGAAAACAAGAGAGAGATTAGAGGGAGGGGGGAGAACAAACAAAAAACCGAACACTAACGACCCGAAATAAAAGAAAAATAAAAACTAACCAGCTGAATTGGGAGTTGAGGGTGAGTTAGCCTGGCTTCCATGGGCTGACACATTGGTAGCTGTGACAGCCGTTTTGGCAGCATAAATATTGGCTTCCTCTTGAAATTTACCTATGTTCTTCTTGTACCGGATTCTCTTATTTCCAAACCAGTTTGATACCTAGAGTGAGTTTAAGAGAAGACAAAGACATTAATGTTTGAGCTCTGGCAAGATCACCTGGGTGAGGAAGGTGGATTAGTTCAGGATAAGCAGTGCATATTCTTTTGGCCCCCGAGTTTTCCTACCCATGGAAGGAAGCACCTTCTACCCCTGTGTGGCAGACCAAGCCCAGTAAAGGTGATGTGACCCTCTTGGGATCACTAGGTTTGTGTGGATATACCTGGTTCCTCTACAGATGGGATATTGACTTAAGGAAATGGGATGCTCCACAGGAATCATCACCCCACGAAAATATAAGACGGATTCAAAAAAGCCTGAATTTTGAAAAAAAGTATGTGTCATTTTGGAACTTTTTTTTGCCTCCTCCTTAGTATCCCTTTGATGGGACAGATGCCCTGATTCCCAGACGCCCATTCTCCCTTTGGAGAAGCTAATGTGGTTTTCAGGGAGAACACCCAGCACACTGTCTGGGGCCTGGCTGACACATGAAATTGCCTTGGTATTACTGAAGCTCTTCTTTGATCCATCTGAGTAAAATCAGTGCACAAGGCCAGAAGTGGATGCTCTTCCTCCAGCTGAGCTTGGCTTTGCAAGGTTTAGCACAAGCCACCACATCAACTGGGAATTTCAGTGGGAGGTTGGAGAGGGAGTACAGGGTTTGTCCTAAAACCTCATTTTGGTCCCAGGAAACAAGTGAGTCCCTTGGAAAGAGGTGGGAGATGTTTCCACTGTGTTTGCCCAGAGGCCTGCTGATAATGACAACCCTGTTCACTTGCAGGCAACATGTCACACTGAACTACTTCAGAGAAGACATGGGAAATATTTGACCTACAGTTTGGGAAGCAGCTCTCAGCTTCTCTTCAGCAACACTGAACACAGAGGCAGGGGAATGTCTTCTTATGTGCAGGTCTCTAAGCAGGAGACAACTTCCAGCCACCACTGACCTCTGAGAAAGCTCATCAGGATGAAGAGAACGGAAAAATGCCTGAGGATGCTGCAACTCTCGCAGAAGAATTCCAACACTCCTGGAATTGCTTGGAGCTGCAACCTTGAGCAAGCAGATCAATCCTTTGGTGGGACTCCATGGACATTCTCCCTTTGCTTGCAGGTGAGCAAGTTCATCAGTGCTCCCCCTTTCAAATGGACTGAACAAGCACCAAGACATAGAATACAATAATGGATGTTCATCCTTGGAAGTCCATGACTTTTTCCTTATCTTAGGAAAGTTGCTTGGGCTTGGGTGTTGATAACTGAAACCCACAAGCTTTTATTCCTGTGATGATCTCTACCTGCAGTGCTCCTAAAGTGTTCAGCAGCTTCCATGCAGAAGCGGCTTCATCCGCCACTGCTGAGCTGCAGGTATCCAACCCTGCACTGCTGCAGAGCAGGAAAAGAAAATATAACCTGCAGAGACAGATCAGCACCCAATCCAGATCTGGGAGTGAACATCTGGATGGCACCAGGAGCAGGGGTTGTTTGCAGGGAGCTCCATTTCACCTCTTGGTCCGCCTTTCTCACTAATGACAATGTGATCTCCTTTGTGATCTTCCCACTTGGCCATCTCTCTATAACAGTTCTTCTGGCTTCAAATGCTGGAGCCAACGGGTGAACTCTGAGTATCACAGGGCAGGAAGATGGGATAAATGGCCACCACAATCAATCTTCATCTAAAAACTTGTGAAGCAAAGAATTTACCCGGCCTGGTCAGCCTTTGAGTTCAGAGCAACTCTGCTTGTGACTTACACAGATTCATGCAGCCCATGTTCCCACTTAGTCCCAGCAAAACCAAACCTGGATGTGTGTTTCCTTCTACCTTCTCTGGATGAAGAAGGGAGGGAAATCCTGGTGATAGGCACAAAACAGTCTTGATACAGCACAGTCAAAAAACAAAGTAAGTGCAAATTTTCTCCTGGGCATTTTGCCTTTGCAAGGGAAAAGTTGCAAGTGTGAACAGATGAATTAGAAGTGAGAAGGCAAACATCAGGACAGCTGGAGCTTTACTTAAGCCAGTATGTGCTGTCTCTCATAGGTAACCAGGAAGAATCAACGTTTGGGTCTTGTGACCCAGGGGAGGCAACTGGAGTCACTCAGCAGGCATCCAACACGGTGATGACACCTACCCTTGGATGTTGTTGCTCCTGCTGAAGGCAGACATGCTCTCACAAGGACAACAGATGCTACTGCTGTCTTCAGTTTACTCAAGCCACGAGCAGGCACGTGCCTGGGGCTGGGAAGCAGCCCAAGACAGGGAATGTAACGGGAGCCTAGAGGGACCACTGAGCTCACATGAGGACAAGCCTACCAGAGGCCACACAGATTGGCTCTCAACCACACAGCTTCCTCCAAAATGAGAGGAAATAAAGAAGGAAATAAAGGCCTGAGCAATGTAGGGCTGAACACTTCAAGGACTGACTGCACTCCTCACAAATCCCAGCAGCTCCCCGGTCAAAGCTACAGACTCCAGAAACTACATGGCTGCCTTGAATGTATGGAAATGATTCAGTTTGCCTTTACTGACTGCTCTTTTTTGAGGGATAAGCAAGTCAGGGAGATGTCACGTTCTGCAGCACAAGGGTAATGACAGAGAGAAATGACCCTGAGAAAGCCCATCCTCCTTGGGCCATTAGCCTGTCTGACCCAGATCCTTCCCACCAGGACCTGTCCATCCCACCTTAACAAGTAAAATCTGCACAACTCTTCCCACTGCTTTTAATCCCTTGGCTAAAAGAATGGACTTTCAGCTCAAACAAGCTCTTCTTGCAAGCCAGTCCAGTACTAATTCCTTGAGGAGAAGACTTTGACTCTCTGGGTGGAACCACAGAGTTTCTGTGCTGTTAACACCTCAGTTGCACACACAGCCATCGCTCCGTGAAGTCTTCATCCCTTCTAAATCCTCTCCCAGACTGTCCTTTTCCATCCATAGGTTCAATCTGCAAGTGCCATCTGCTCTCCCATCCACTCTCACTAACTTGTACTAAGCTCATTAAGTAATTAAATGCTCAACACTGGGACGTGACTGACTTGCCTGAGGTCTGGAACGCCCCTCACCATGCTGAGCTTTCCCATTAGTACAGTCTTTGATCTCTCTTACCTGTGAGACTGTGATGCCGCATTTCTTGGCTAGCTCTTCTTTGGCTTCCTCACTGGGGTAAGGGTTGCTGAGATGGGAATAGAAATACTCATTCAGGATTTCCGTAGCCTGCTTGTTGAAGTTCCGTCTCTTCCGCCTTCACATGGAGAAAGAGGGAGAAATAGAAGGAAAAGGAAAGGGAATCAGTGCCAGGGATCTAGAAATAGAAATGTAATTTTACATACTCTGACTTTCCAACTTCCCTCCCTCCTTCCCCTGCTCCTGGGAGTATGGAGTGCAATACTTCATGGCCAGGAATTTTCTCCTCTGCACCCTTCGGGTGACACCTCTCTCAGCACCCTCCAAAGCAAGTAATTCTCCATCTGAAACTATCCCTGTGTACCCTCCAGCTCACAGAAGAGTCTGAAAACCGGCATCCAGCTCCTCTGCCTGGGAAGGTGACTCCTGACACCTGGCTGTCGTGGCCAAAGACATCACTGCTACTCTGCAAAGCTCTGTGCTGAGGAAGCAGCGCTGGATATATCCTTGGGGAAGTCTGTTCCAATTACACATAGGCATTATCTGTCTGCTATCTCTTTCCTTGTAGCCCCAGTGTAGCTGCCTCTCCTCCCTTTTGCAAGCTGAAGCCCAAGCCACAGTCTACACGTAGTCAGCTTGGGAAATGAAATAATTTTACAGCAAATCAAAAATCTGGGACAATGGGAACAGTAGGAAAAGGGTAGGAATCTAGAGGGGACAGGATGGCCCGGAGGATGTGCTTTCATCCCTAACTGAAGTGCACATTTTCATCAGAGAGAACTGTTGTAATATGCCAGAGAATTTCCTTCTGCCACAGTAAAACTAGGATGTGCAATTCTCAAGGTAGAGTTGGGAGCCTCCTCGAGACAGGAGCTGGATGTCTTGAATTGCTGTCCCCTCCCCTGCTGAGCCACAGACAACTAAGGGATAAGGAAGGTAAATAACCTCTGTGGCTCAAGACCAGGATACGGCCCTTCAGATGGACCTGAATTCACTCCAGAACCTCTGAACACCTCTCCAAGGCCTCAACAACACTGAATGGTGGGTGGGGAGAAGGCGGGATGAACTCACCGTGCGTCCAGAAATCGGGAGCGCAGGATCATGACGGCTTCACACGTGCTCTGCTTCAGCTGCATCTGGATGGAGCTGAACTTGCGGTGGATGATGCTCACCATCCGCTCGATCTCCTTCGGCGAGATGGGTCGGGTCCGGCTCTGCTCACGCAGCAGGTTCATCACGTGGGTGGTGAATTCGTTGCATGCCTGGGATGGCAAGAAAAGCAAAAGAAACCCCAGGATCGGAAGGTCATTCGACAGTGTCGAGGACGAGACAGAGACAGCGCTGCTAAGGAGGGGAGACCCGAGTGAAGGCCTCAGTGGTTGGGGCTTTTCAGGGCAGACCAAGATCAAGAGTGTGCTGGCACCTGGGGGAGAGAGAAGTTTCTCTCATCTGCCAAGCAGAGAACATGAGACTCCCAACAAACATTTTGGGAAGAGCAGAAGCTGATTTCTTTGCTCTCAGGGGAATAATGGATGGAGCTGGGGAACGTTCATATAGGGTTCATATAAAGCATGAAGTCCCAGCCACTGTTCTTCTGGCTGCGACTGGAGGAGCTATAGATGTGTCCGAGGAAGACCATGAACCTTTTGACCCACTGTCCCTCCTCCTACAGCCCCACCACATGTCCTGCAGAGCCCCCTGTGCTTCACAGAAGCAGGTCCCAGAGAAACACAGCCCTGTTCCACATTCTTGGCACATCAGATAAGAAGTAAATAATGATAATAATTAAAGCCTGACTGAGGCAGGAGCCCTGACAAGAAAGGGCAAGCAGGTAACAATCCCAATTAGTTTGTTGCTGGCACAGCACTGTCTGCTGCTTCTGCTGTCCCCATGCTGTGCCGAGAGGACAGGGCAGTGAGAGGGGACAAGGCAGGGATTTTGAGGCCAGATGAAGGCCACTTCACTGCCCTCTCTTTCATCTGCACAAGCAACTCATGGGCATGATGGGATCCTCTGATTCCCAGAACTAAGCCCCAGAAACCAGGCTGAGGGCAGCACTCGGACACTGATGGTTGGAAATGCCTTTGGTGCTCCTGGGACATGGGAGCTGCTCTGGGGACAGAGTCCCCAGTTCCCATCCTATCATGGGGAAAAAGGGGCAAGCAGGGGTAAGAAGTACTGGCTTTGTGGACAAGTGACATGGGCTTGACTTCCAATGTCACACCCCACCTTTCCAAGCTGAATCCCCACCACGGCTCAGATCCAACAAGGAGACACCCCCGAGGCCAGCACAGCCCCTCCAACTGCCCATCCCCAGCTTCAGCTGATGAGGAAGGAGCAGAAGGTAAGGTCCATCCCTGAAGCCTGTCTTTGTCTGTGCCAAGGGCCTCTCCTTGGACTTGGGTAGTAAGGGACATGAGGTCTCTCTCCCCCTCTTCAGCCTGGGGTCTTGAAAGAGGAGCCCTGACATGCTCTCCACTCCCACCATGGTTGAGGCTTCCTCTTATCGCACAACCCTGTCTCTGCGCCTTGAGGGAGTGACAGCAAGGGCTGAGGAGAGCCACCAAAGGTCATTCTTCTAACCAGCCTTCTGCCTGCTCCCTGCCTCTTCTAATGCCCTGCCAAAACGTCTTTCATGGTGTGACAGTGCTCGGCTTCTCCAACACCAGAGCCCTGCCTGGCCACCCTGACCCCAGCTCCAACCCAGGGGCACCCAGCTAATGTACCTCAGCTTGGCCAGTGTGGCACCTCAAGGGGTAGGACATTCCTCATCCCCACCCCACATCCAGTTAGCCAGCTAAAACAGGGGCTGGGCTGTCTCTAAACCAGAGACCTGAAACCCTGCCTGACCCCTGGCTGTGGAGCCCATCCTGCACCCAGAAAGGAGGGATGCCTTTTTGCTCACACTCCATAAACCACAACCTCTGGGTAGAAACCACAAGGGCAGTGGTGAAGAGAGGTCTGCAGAACATCTGGAAGCATTTGAAAGGAACTGGTTCTGAGCGTTGGTCTGTGAAGCTCTTCATGCAATTGTCAGTGTTACCAATAGCTGCATTTATGACCCGAACAGTTTTTCTTTTTCTTTTTTAAGGATAATTTTCCGCAAGAAAAAAAGAAATTCTTTTCTGGAAAAAGAGCTTTTCAAGCAGAAAACATATTCAAGGAAGATTTTGATTTAAGTCTTGCTTGGAAGAAACTGTTGCCACTGAGGCCAGCACGATAAAGAGGGCTCCTCCTTCACAGGGCCAATTGTGGACAAGATTTTGGGAGAGAAGTGGAAAGCAAAAATCCAAGGGGCAACCCATGCCGAGCGTATTCTCATGCCACATCCCAGCACAACACTCCAGCTCTCCCAACCCTAAAAAAGCATGTTTTCACTCCAATACCCAGCTGCATTTGCCCATACACTCCCAACAATAGATGTCAGTAGCGATCCAGGCTGTGCTCATCCACGCCACAGTGCCGGCACCGAACGGCAGCTGCCCCACTCCGGCTCCTGCTCCCACCGTCCCACGACCACCAACCAGCCCTCTGCCGCGAAGGAGCCTGTTACCTGCTCGTACTTCTCCAGCTCCGTGTGGTAGATCTGTCGGATCTGGGAGAGTTTGGCTCTGTAGTCAGAGTGCTCCACCGAGTTGTCAGAGCCGGCTCCTCCTGACGCGGCGGCGCGGCGGCAGCGGCGGCTGAGCCGCCTCCTTTTTCGGGGCCTGCCACCCCCTCGGCCAGGAGCATGTTGTCTAACCTCATCAGCTGGGGGTCCGTGGGCTCCTCTTCCTGCGCTCCCCGGATGCTCAGCACTGCCAGAGACACAAAGGGGAGAGGACTTAATTCAGGGAAAGGGATGCTCGTCCAAAGTTAGACCATCAACAGGGCTTTTCTTCCTTTCCAAAAGGTACCCCAACAGGCTGGTGCTCCAAGTGCTCATCACCAAGTGCAGCTACTTGGCTCTCCAGGGGCATTCCAGCTCCCTGTTTCCCCCCCTACCTCTTCCCCTCCTTCCTGCAGGAAAGAAGTAGGGCAGAACTGGCAGCGAGCTCACCTCAGAGCTTAACCAGAAATCCACACTTTCTGTTCAAATAGGAAGCAAAACTAGCAACACCAATCAAAAACCAATAAATGCACCCATTCTTGCTGCCAGAAGGGATAGGGACCATATCCCAACTCAAGCATGGGATGGGAAATTAGGAGTCTCCAGCTCTGATCTCATCTTGCTCAGGGGTCCTCTCATGTCACCCAACATGTCATTTACATCAACCCCAGATGGCAGAGAAAGACACACAGAGCCCAGGGCTGATGGTGCCTTGGTTTCCTCATTGTTAAATACAGACAGAGAAGGCTTGAAGGCCATGCTTTTAGCCACACAGTGGGAGCACACGCAAAAAATGTATGAAATCAATTTTATTCTTTGGAAAATGGCTTTTTTTTAAAGAATCCAGACATTCCACTGAAGTCTAAACCACGCTGAGAAAAGGAGCAATAATAAATTAATCCTTCCAGAGCAACTTTCCAAGGAGAGAATTTTCCTCCCCTCTTTGTACTCCCTGCCTCAATTACTGCTCCAACTAAAAGTCCTTCTCCTGACAGGGCTTTCCTGGAAAAACAACATGGGAGCATCCCGACTGCTTGGGATGTCCCAGGTCTGAAGGGCGGAGATGCCCTATGTGCCCCCCCCATGGTCTGTGTTTGAAAACAGAAGGAAAACTTGAGATCTCTGCATGCACACACACGGAGCTGCAAAATAAATGAAATAAATACAATAAATCCTTGATGAGTGAACAAAAAAGGAATTTCCTAAGAGAAATTAATTGTATTTCTCCATCTCATCTGGCAGAGGAGCTCCAAGCACTTTGTAAACACACACACACACACACACACAGCCCCAGCACACACTCACTGCACATGCAGAGTTGGGAAACATTGCATGGGTAAAGCTGTGCCCACTACACCTGAGATGAATATAACCCCCCCTCAAATCCACAGCATAAACAAGAGCAAGTGATTCTCCCTGTCATTCAAATAAAATCAAAAAGCAGTGGGAAATCAGTTGGCAACAAGAAATAAAACCAGAGCAGCTAAAAAACCCCAGCAACCAGAGAGTACGGTCTTCCTCACTCTGAAATAAGTTAAAGACACAGCTATCATCAGTAAAAAATTGAGAGGTTTGGCTAAGTCTAAAATGAGCTTGTGTTTTTTTTTTTAAGCCTCAAAGTCTACTGAAATTACTATTTTCAGGACATTTCATTCATTCATTTCAATCACTTTTTCATTCATGCATTTACTGGCATTTTTGGTATTGAAATATTCACTGATAACAAAGGTGGGAAGGTCAGGGGGGAAAGAAAAGAGAGAAAAAACTCCAAGAAGAGTAAACAGCCAATAAAATGATCTAATAATAAATAACTCCACGCTAGGGAGGATCGTTTCTGTACAGAGGAATGGGGGCACACTGCCAAATTTGGAGCTGGGTGCCAGTTGCCGAGCCCTGAGGAGACAGGACCGGCATCTCCCCCCACCACAGGAGGCTTCCCACGGCACTGCTGGCACCCAGCCATGATGAATAAATCCAAGGGGAGAGGACAGATTTCATCAACAAAATGGTCTGGGGTCTGCGGTCCAGACACCAAACTAAAATAAGAGGTAAAAGTAGCCAAATTCCTTAAAAAGAGAAGAGGGAAGGTGACAGGCTACAGCGGGGAGAGAAAAAACTTGCTATGAAAATAAAAGAGAATAAATTCCTATTCTTCCAGGACAAAAAAAAAAAATCAGTAAATTAAAGCACATCAAAAGCTCAAATACAAAAAGAAAGCAACACAGGTTAAAAATAAAAAAAAATAATAAAAAGAACCTCAAATAAACAAATCAAAAGCAGAGTTGCCAAAACAGGCGCATCTGGATTTCAAAAGGGAATATTTTTAGATTAAAAATCTCAGGAATCATTGACCTGACAGGTAGGCACGAGTGATTAATTAGTTTATGTTTAGAGAGCTGCTTCCTGATGAAAAGCACTGTGTATTCCCGTGAGCTTTACTCCTGTGCCACACGCACAGACCAGCACCTGCTGGGTGGGTGCATTCCCAGCATCCGATGGAGGGACATGTGCCCCCACAGCAGTGACCTAAGCCCAGCTGGGGACCGTGTGGAGCCAGCCTGGTCTCGGCTGTTTGACTGAAATAAGGCATGGGAGTAAATAAATGGAAAGGCCAATGTGTCTAAGCAGGACTGATGCTGCCTATTTATCCCTGGAAAGCTGTGCTCAGCCGAGGAGAAGACAAAATGATTATTTAAAAGCTCCTTTTTTATCTTCCTGGTGTTGTTCCTGGCTCCAAAACGCCTCCTGCCAGGATGCCCAGATTGCTGGGCTCCTTGGCAGCTCCAGCCCTCCAAACTGCCCCCTGTGATGGGATGTGGCTCTGCTGGCTGGGGGGCTCGGGGTGAGCTGGTACAGGCAGCACCCAACCTGTATTGGCTGGGCAGCTGATGGTGAAAGAACCCTGCTCTCTCACCAAATTAAACCAGAATAAATTAAAGCAGAATGATCCCCGGTGGTCCAAGGGGCTACAGGCACGTAGGCATCCAAGGCATTCCCAGGACTCGCCCTTTGCTGCTCCTGATTAAAGAAAAGGGGGGGAAAAAAAGGAAAAAAAAGGAAGAACAAGAAGAAAGAGAGCAACTGGCAGCTGGGGGGAGGAAAATTCATGCAAGACTTTCTGTCCTTGGCTGCTTTCCTGCTGGCTTGGCAGCTCCCAGAGCTGAGGCACAAGCCACTAGATGGTGCTCGGCCCTCGCCCAGGTCCCCCACTGATCAAGATGGGTTTTTATATGTAAATATATACATACACACATACGCAAATATATATATGTGTGTTATATATATACACACATATATATGCGGGTGCATTTTAAAAGCAAACCCAAGCCATGTGCCTTGTCCCTGCCCGGCTGATCGTGGAGCAGAACCGAGGAGCATCCCTGTCATAGGGTCACCACCTCCCGTGGCAGCAGCGGGAGCAGCTGGGGACCATTGAGCCACCAGCCTGCAGTCCGGTCATGGATGTCACCAGGGTCACAGAGACCTGTTCCAGCAGCTGGGAAATGGCTCCCAGCTCACACACTCGCTCCTTCTCCCTCTTGAGGAAGGTATCATAGCCATGGGGTTCAGAGGATGTTGACAAGTCCTAGTCCTGGGCTGGTGGTGTGGCTGCAGTGCAGGACACAGGGAAGTGGCAGCAGGACTGATCTCAGAGAAGCAGGTGAGAAGACAAAGACAAAAATAGCTTCCTGGCTCCTTGTCTGCCCTGCAGTTCAGGGATGCAGGGTGGAAACTGCATCGAGTCACCAAAGCTTCCACATCCTTCAAGATGCTTCCCACCAACATCTCCAAGGAGCAGCTGCAGAGCAGCCAGTTCCATGTTCACATGAGTTGGGCAGCCAGCACTCCATATGTGTCTGTGTCTCCACACCACAGTACCTGTGTGGAGGGGCAGCCACACAGTCTGAGGTACAGCCAGGGTGGGGGCACAGGGCAGGAGAAACAGCCCTTGCCGAATGCCTTTGGAATGGACAGCACCCTGGGGATGGTCTGGGGTTGTGAAGACACCTAAGAAATCCACGAAGGAGGGTACCAAATTCCTCTGGTCCTCTATGCCACCCTCCCCTTCCTTATTTACTCCATTTTCCTGGCAGCATTTTCCCAAAGGAATATGAAAAGTGCAGGAGTCGAGCACACAGCCACCTCTCTTCTCCAAGGCCATGCCAAAATGCTTCCACTTAGCAACCCTTTTCTCTCAACCCCTTCCAAACCCTCCAGATTAGAGGTGTGCAGGCAACACCAGAAGAACGACATTACAAAGGCAATCATGCTGGGGGTGATGGCAGAAGCTTAGCAGGAGACTGTGGCTGAGCAGTAGACAACAGAAAAGGATGCTCAAACTTTCAAGCTCCACTTTTCTTCTAGAAGGAGCAGTTTATCCTACTGTGGTCAGTGTCCTTAAACTGAGATGATGTGGGAAACAGGGGGCTGTCCCAGCCAGACTCCCAGCATGGGATATATACCCTCACAAGAGGTTGCAGGTTGTAGTGGTACCACACTCCCCCATCACTTCTCATTCTCATGTCTCTCCTTGGGTGTGCTCATCCCAGTTAGGTGCCAGCCAGGACTTCTGGGGTGGAAGCCAAAGACCAAGCAGGAGACACCAGAAGAGGTTAAGGCAAGGTGGAGGAGTGGGAACAGCCTCTGCAGGGATGCAGTGGGAACATCCTGGAAGAAGAAGATACAGCGAATGCCAATCTAGGCTGTGACGAGGAAGGAAGAGGTTCCCCAGGGCTGGTGTGGCTGTTCTCCGCTGACCTCAGCAGCCAGAAGCGTGGTCCCGTGAAATTCCTGTGACTGCCAGGTTAAGATTCCCGATAATGACATGAGCTGGCAGTTCCTCTGCAGCCCCATTTGCTGACACCCCCAGCCAAGGGCTGGACCCAGTAGCTGGGTGTTTAAACAAAGCCACCCTACCAAGAAACCTGCTGGGTGGCTTTAAGGAGTTCGGGAGGAGCGTCTGCCCTCCCGCCCGAGCTCGGCTGCTTCTGAAGGAGTTTTCTCATGGTTGTTTCTGCCCATTCCCAACTTGCTGAATTGCCTTTCCAGGGGGACATTTTAAAGGAGAAGGAGATTTCAAGTAAATGATTGCAACTTATCAAAAATAATGTGCTACTTAGCATCGGAGACAAGCATCCTGGCAGGCAGAAATGGGAAGTAGTGCCGGAGCAGATGGGAGTAATTACGTTGTGATTTTCAGAAGGGTTT